TGTAAAATAAAACACTACCGGATAATTGTGATCGCACGATGAAATTTGAATGGTGATGAGGGTAAGTGAAATCACTATTTATTTTCGTTTATAGACGTTGGAAAGACTTTTCTTATATATATATAATTTCAAATAATTTAGATTTATAGAAAAAAATTAAAATTCAATTGTGAAATACAAATGTGATTATTGGATCGGTTCAGATTCAAAAATAAAATAAATAAATATATATATATATATATTTTCAAATAATTTAGATTTATATAAAAAAATTAAAAATTAATTATAAAATATAATTTTGATTATTGGATCCGTCTAGATTCAATCTGGTATGTAATAAAAGTATAAGACTTAAACTTTTTTTTTTAAATTATATCAAATTTAATGGTCACTATTTAAGATCGTACGTGCATAAACGACGAAGTGACTTACAGGACCATACATAAACGAGAAAGGGAACTTTCGTACGAAGGAAAGTTCCAAGCGGCTCCTTCGTTGCCAAGGGAAAGACCGGCGCAAAAGTTTCTCGCCGTTTTCATTTTCCCTCTCTTCAACTTTCGCAAGAGTTTTTCCGGCGAGTTTTCTGGCAAAGTTTCCGGCGAAGTTTAATCAGTATGTGGGTAGAGATTGTATGTGGCTTGGTAGTTTACAGGCTTTTCAGCCGCTTCTTATTCAAAGACGATGAATTCGAGCCTCAAACACTCTTTGATTCCACTTTCGCCATAGCTAGCAGGTTCAGATTCTTAGTCTTTCTTCCCTAATTACCATGGGAATTTTTTTTTTTTGTTGTTTTTTTCTTCCAGTTGTCCGAAAAGAAAAACCCACCTTCAGTCTACGCAGAGATCATTGTTTTCTTATTGAATTCGTTCGTTATTCGCTATGGATTTTGGGTGTCTGTTTTTCAGCCTTGAGAAGCTTTATGGTGGGAAAGTATACACTGGACTTCGAATCCCTGACGCAGAGAATGGGAATTTTCAGGAGATTGATATGGTTCTCGTTACCAAAGGGTAAGGATATAGTGTTTATTGATGAGTTATTTGAAATGAACTAATTTCGAGTAATTTTCTTTGAATTTGGGTTTCTTCTTACTGTGAAATTGAGATGTATATTGTGGGTTTTTCAGGGAAGCTATGGTTATTATGGTTAAGGATATTTCGGGATTTGTGGATACTGAGCCTTCAGGTAGCTGGGTTTGCATGAGTGGGAGTAAGCAGCACGTGGACAGGCATCTTAATCCTGTAAATGCTTTTTTTTGTTATTATGAATTTTTCTCTTATTGATTGTTTTAGCTTTGATACTAGTTTTGATTATTCTCTTGTTTTTGTTTCGGGTTTCTGGTGACTGGATTTGGTTGGTTTTTATTCCTTGTTGCCATCAAATGCCTCTATGTGCTCTCTGATAAATGTACCTTTTAATTGATGAGGATCGTGGCTCTATTATATGTGATTGATGAGGATCGTGGCTCTATTTATATGATGCTTGCTAGAAAGCCTGTGGAATCAGTATAGAAATCTCCCATCCTTTTTCTAGTTTTTATTTTTTATTTTTATTTTAGAGTAAGTCGGGCTATAGGATTAGAAATACTTCCTAGGCATTTACAGTCAATAAGGTTCAAAGTGAAGCCAGTCACTTTTTGACTGAACCAATTCTTAAGTTATATACTAAGTCCGTGAAGATCTGCACTTGCTCGTTTTAGGTTAGCTTAATTGATGCGTTAGCGAACCCATTAACCATGCTCCTTTCAATATCTTCTTCATCTTTTGACTGTTAAAGTGTCCTAGCGTTACTCTAATAGCTTTTCCATATCAATCATTTGCTTCTTTTCTATGTATTATGTACTCTGAAATCAGAAGAAAAGCCAGTGTATGATGTTCTTCTTTCCATTTGTCATCACAGTCCTTACTTCCCTTGACATGCATTGTTGGAATAGTAGAAAAATAAGAAAATAATAACTAAAGGAGTGGTTCTGGAATATCTTCCCATTCATTCTAGCTAAGTTTTCCTATGTTTTTTGAATTGAGATACCTCCTAGAAGTGGGAAGTGTGAGCAGGAATGGATTCATCCTAATATTGTTATTCATCCTAATGTTGTTACTATCATATGAGTTTGTACAAATGCGAGGAATAATGAGTGAAACGGGGTATGGGAAAACTAATAATAAGTGAAACTGGATATGGGTAAAAATGGCTTTTAGGCAAGTTCTCTTCTCAACAAGATCAAGGAGAGTCTAAGATATGTCTGGGAGGCATGAGCTTTGGGACTTGAGCTTTGGCTTCCCAGTAACGTGGAATATTTTCCCAATTTTAGGGCACAATTTTGTTATAGCTATTGCCCCTTCCTTTGTAAAATGTGATCTTTGTAAGATGGGTTGGCTTTGTCAGCGGTGATAGGTATGGGAAGATTAAAAGAAAAGAACATATATATTGGGACAAATTTCATCTCAGAATCTTTTTGGGAGATATGAGATATGTATCCTAGGTCAATCTAATTTCCAAATCCTACTATACAAACAAAGCATGCTGATATTGGCACTCTGAATTCCAAAATGAAAGAAATCTTTCCTGAATCTTCTTTCCTCAGGGATCTAAATATGCCCAGATTATGCCTTTAGTACACTGCCCAAGCGTATTATTGTCTAAGTATTTCTTGTGATAGCTCTTACCTTCTTCAACGCGCCAGTTTTATTTTCACACTCGCACTGAAATCCCCTTTCAATGATTGTGGAGAGTATATTCTTTAAAGAAGACAACATTCTGTCATTAAATATTTGAATTCTAAGTTATTTTGCATTTCTCAACAACGTTCTTGTCTAGTGAAAGTGTTTATGTGGTAGTCTCTAGACCATGATTTAATTGGTTTGTTCAACTATATGTAAACACTCTATTTTATTTCATAATGTTTCGAAAATTTCAGGTGGAGGAGACTAGAAAGCAAGTTTCGATTCTCGAGTCTTACTTGGAAAGGAGAGGAGTACTTTTACCAGAGGGATACTTGAATTGTAGAGTTCTACTTCCAAATCCCAATTGCAGGTGAGTTCTAAGAAGGGTGAGGACCTTAAACTTTTCCTTAACCCGTCCCAAATTCGGGTAAAAGAGGTGGGTTGTATCACGTAGGAAGCTAACATAAAAGTTGCCAAAACTTTCTATATATCCTGAAGGCAGACCATAATTCGTATAGCCGACCCCCAATAGTTAGGAAA